ACGTGCGGGTTGGGATAGCTGATCATTATTATAATTAGCTGTAATGCAACGGCAACTCGATGCACCAATGCAAAAACGCGATTATGCACTCTGCATTATTCACTGTAACGCTCTGCCGAAACGATTATAACCATAATGATTAGAGAAAGAAATGCGGGTATATTAATATTTTATCTAATTTTGTGAAAAGAACGTAAGCATCGTAAAATTATTGTTTCTGTTATATATTAGTTCATAACAGAACAGTGCTTTACTATAGTACGGTTGTTGTCATTCCATTTTGATGTTCCACAACTCATGAGAAATTCTCCATTCCGCTCAAATCTCTGCGACAGTCTAATTACATTTCTGCCGGGAATGCCCGTGGTTACGTTGGATAATTATATATGAACACGTAAAGCCTACAGAGAAGTCCTTCTCGTCTATCGACATCGCTGTGTCGATCATATTGTACCGCACGCCACTATCGGCCATCGAAAATTCGTGCAACGCCCCATATAATCCGATTTACGTCGGTCGATGCTCCCGCGATTCCGACTAATTATTGTCTGCGTTAATTAAAACGTGTCGCGTACACGGATATTAGGATCCATTAATGTAATGCGCCGTTTGTTTCGAATGAGCGGAACGCGGCCATCCGGCGCGCAGGATATTGTTATTAATTTTAATTAACGATCTAATTAAAATGATTCCTTTGTGGGAGAGAAATCCTTTCTTGGGAAACGAGCGTTATCGCACTCTTGGGTATCTGCCACTTTAATATCTAAACGAGACATTTAAAGCTGTGTCCACACTTTAAGCAACAGAACATTATCATTGCAATGCCGTCGTGTAATGCCTGTATCAGAGTATCGAGATTGAGATTAAAAGTGAAATTAATCAATCAGAAGAAGGGAAATCAGTATTAAGTTTAGTAAAATTTGCTTTGATTAATCTTAATCTCAATATCTATTATAGTTTGATACTTAACTTTTCAGAGATAGGAGTTGCCACTTGCAACATTCCTTTTAAAATTAAGTTTGAGATAAATTTGGGATTTATGTAAATTAATTGTGCTTAAGAACTGAAGATGGAAATGTGTGTAACATTAAACATTGAAATATAATACTTTATCCGCCATTATAGTAAAAAATATTTTAGTACTTCCTCGAAGATGCTTCCTCGAATTTTATGAAATTTGACAATAAAACAAATTCAGCACTTCATGCTGATCATCTTACCACTCTTGAGCGCGAAATTCTAGTCTTGTCATATATAAACTAACATAATCTTAGCATTTTTGTGTTATACTTTGTTTTAAAATATTACAAAGAATCTGTCTTTAAAACATTTATTGTCAGTTTTAGGACTTTTACACACACACACACACACACACACACACACACACACACACACACACACACACACATTTCACACACACACACACACACACACACACACACACACACACACACACACACACATATATTAGGTGTAGTAAAAAGTCAT